CCACCCCCACCCCCACCTCCTGAAATGGCGCACATGTTTACCTTTGACCCCGTTCTAAATAAATATGATGGCTTGATCAGAATTTATCAAAAGCTTATATATGCTCGCCAATTGCTCTTCTGAATCCTCTGATGGGAAATCTCCTGAGTAATCGCCGAATGTTCAGGGTTTTGGAGCCCAATTTGTCAATTGGACAGCAAATTTAGGCAATGCGTTAACTTCATATAATTCTACAAAAAAATATCTTTAAGTTACGATAAGGTATAAGGTAATACATGAAACAAATTTGTTTCAAGAATGTAATTCAAATGACCAAGCGACAATTGTGCAAGGCATTTATGGTTGCTTAGTGCAAGTAGCTGTTAGTTGATTATTCCAACCGGATATCCTGGCTGCACTAATCCCTGGATCATCTGGTACGACATACCGAAATGCTAAAAACAACAACACGGCAGCAACTGTACGAATGGGGCTCCAAGTCCTCAAATCATTACGTCGGGTAGATATAGGACTCAATACCTCGCAGTGCGATAGCTGCTCGAATACTCACGTCTCCCCGACAAAACATTAAGTCGTCTACAAACGATGGATTGATGCCACACTCATAACACAATTGGATATCGTGTCGACCACCACAACACCATGGCCCGGTGCATGTGGTCATGGTCACAGTTCTGGCATAACAGTACCAGGTTCGTTGCGGCACGCTGGCCCCACTCGAATGAAACCTGACCGGGAAGTACTATATCTACCCAACCACGTGGTAGGCCGAACTGTATCGTTTCGCATCCCTGGGCGGGATTCAAACTTAGAGGCGTTCAGTCTTAATCACTCAGATGGTAGCTTCGCATATTGGGCTGCTAGACCAGGCACATGTACCAAATGTCTGAACCTGCGGTTCCCCCTCTTATTAAACAGGATTACCATTACAATGACCAAATCTTACTTCACCGTTTACACAATTCAGCCATCAGTATGGTAAAACTAACCTGTCTCACGACGGTCTTAACCCAGCTATATGGTTGAGCAAAGGCTCTAGACACTAACAGAAAATCGTACAAGTACTCACTTATCCTCCAACAGCTTTTGTTTGGCTTCCGCCTTTTCTTTTAGAATTCTCATGTCATCGACCAGTTTGCTGCATTGCTGTGTTAGGGCCTGCTTCTCAGCAATCAGCTCATCGATCAGTTTGTAGTTCTTATTAATGGTCGCCTCGTATTCCTCCTTTTGGGCGGCAAGTCGTTGTTCATAATTCGTTTCAGTTTCATGCACCTGTTGTATGCTTAATTCTCGCTGCTGTTGAAGACTATCGTACTGGTTATTTACAAACTCCTCCAGCTTTGCCGTTTTGACCTTCTCCATACTGAGGGCAGCGGCTAGTTCCTCATAAGTGACCTTGAAGATAAAAAGTTAATACCAACAGTGGATCAGTTGTAGGTAAGTGGACTGTGTAGTGGACATTAGAGCACGCAACAATGCGGTTCATTATAAAAATCCTTTTTCTGATTTTTTTTGCAATTTTTGTTAATCATAACCAAAAGGTCAAACCGCAGCACCACAAGGACACCTCTATGGTCCCGTAAAACGTACATATTTTGTTTACAAGTTTTAGAGCACAAGCAAATGCTCATCAAGGGAAATTGTATCCAAGTTGAACCGGCCACTACTTTCAATTATTTACAATAAAGGCAGCTCAACCTTAAAGCATGACGTTTATTTGTTCAGGCGTTTGTAGCGCTCAAATTGAAGATGGCTAAGTGTCTACCTTGAGTTCCTTAAAACAGTGCCTCTGAATTAATTGGAGAGCCTTGGTAAATTTGAATAATTCATCTGACCTACATGTGAAAAACTCAGCAGCTTTGCTGGAATTTGTCTCTGAACACAAATTTTAGGATCATCCGTATTCATTGTAACGGATACTGTCACCGCCATAAGTTTGCTGAAGTGGCCTTTCACACTGCGGTATCTGGTCGTTGCCCATAACTCGGCTACCAAAGGAAACGTTCGATGAACCCTTCACACGGCCCCAACGCGTGCGCTCATGAATCGCTTGCTAGCAGTCCCACACTTTTTCGCTGTGACATGCATGGCTTAGGACCGATAAGTGACATGGATCCTCTCGTTCTCTAAAATGTGCTTATTACTAGAAAACTTTGAAAAAAAAGTGTGACTTCTGCCACGTCGCTGTTAGATGATAATTCTAGTTGGACCCTCGGTTTAATCGCTGTTGGTGTGTTTGCTGTTTTGCACCGTCTGTGGCAGTGGTACGAGTTTACCTCCAGCGGGTCCTAAGGGTATTCCAGTTTAGTCACGTATCTGTCTTAGTCACTGAACTGTACTTCAACTTTCCTCGAAAGGGAGCACGGGCAGCCAGTTGGCGACGAGATAGTATGTTAGTTCATAGTTTTGGGATAACATTAGGAGTTAGGGTTAACGTTAGGGTTTAGTTTGCTAATGTTATGTACTGGGTCGAACAAAAGTCCCCTTTGGCCGAGGTTATCTATGAGAAGCTGCAGCCACTGAACAGTTTGTAGGGAAACGACAAGATTCACAGTAGGTGACCTATTTCATGAAACACGATGACGGAAATTATGACGACCAGATGTCGGCCACTAAAAGGCAGCGCGTTACCTTTTCCAGAAAGTGTCCTATTTACGTGCAGAATATGTTTACAAATAATGTTACCAATCAAAAGTTTTTTGAACAAAAATCAAAGTAATCTTGTATTTCAGCGGTTTTATATACTACTAGCTATCCCAGATTAATTTTGCGCATCCAGAAGTGTTTTTCTCCGAGAAGAGAAATATATAAAACGCGTAACTCATTATAATCGAACACCAGAAATACTAATAAAGATATTTTCCGAAAGGAAAACTTTCTTTATATACACGGAATGGTATTCGTACACCGATCTGTTTCAGGATGTACTCATCCTCGTTGACGCCGTTGCAGGCTTAGACACGTCCAAGCATATGTTGCAAGGCCAATAGTAATGTTACTTACTAAGATTTAGTAACGTTTATTTTATGTCTACCATTGCACCTGAAAATTATACTTGAAGTTCATACCCACTGGCCAGCCTATCACCGTGCGATTTTAAGAAGGGCACTGTTCCTGTGACGTGTCTGTCGATGAACTCAGGAAAAACCTATTTAATTCAGTCAGGCACATCTCAAACAATCTAGAAACTAAAGAAAAAGCAGACCATTCTCATGAAACTGTGTTGGAATTTACACTCGAACTGAAGACTATTTGCTAATGGCCGCCCTTGATGCTTCACTACTTTTTAATTGATATTTAAGTACACATTGCCATAATGGATAATTATGCTGAATTATTTATTTGTGTTTTGCATGAACAGTCTTTCTGTGCATCTAAAGCTTAAAGTTACTCAGCTACTGGATCTTTAATGTGTTCGGAATTTGTCGTTTTTCTAAGAAAAACATCTTGTACGTGTAAACACCGTAATCTAACTTATGATATTTACTTTATGTTGTAACATTAACATTGAAAAGCTGTTGTACATTCGTTGCTGCCGGTTTGAGAGTGATTAGCAATCCTTTGCACTGTGATCCAAACGTCAACTAAAATCAGTCTAAAGATAGGTATAAAGCTGCTTCATTGGCAAACGCCCTTTGGTAATTTCCATAGGTTTACTACTACTTTTGCGAGTTTGGGAGGGATGTAGAGCTCTACACTTCAGTGTCAGTTAGAAACGTGACTGATTATATAAAGCAAACACAACCTCGTCGTATGATGTGACTCTGGTTAGCTTAAACTCCGACGGACTTCAAAAAATTAGAAGGCAGAAAAGAAGGTTGCAATCAATTTTTCTTGCAAATACGTAGAAGAGAAGAGCAAGAGTGAGGAAGAGCTCCCATAACAGATCCGTCCTCACAGCTGCGAAGGGAGTCTAAGATTGCTGTACACGAAACACAGG